TATATATAAATACACAGTCTACCAATATCTAGACAAGGAATGTAAAGGCCCAGAATTGGAAAATAATGGGCAGGACCTTGGACCATGGCTTTCCTGAGAGCAATCAGCCTGCTCCTGCAAAACTCACAGAGCTCCATTCCTGGGGAGTCACACCTCTGAGGCGTATTTTGATGTGGAGGAGTTGAATTGTGTCCCCTAATAATATGTACATGCAATGATGCCTTTGAGTTGTAGTGCTGGAGAGGAGTACCAAACACATCATGGACTGCCAAGAGAACTAACAGGTCTGTCCTGGAGAGGGTGAAGCCAAGCCGTTCCTTGGAGGCAAGGATTTTGAGGCTCCATTTCAAAATGCTTAGGGCATGTGGCCAGGAGGGACTAGTCCCTGGAGAAAGACATGCTTGGAAGGGTGGAGGGACAGCACAGGAGAGGAAGACCCTGGATGAGATATATTGACATAGTAACTGGGGTAATGAGGGTAGGTGTATCAGAGACAGTGAGATTGCTCCAGGACAGAGCAGGGCTCAAAGCTATTTTGCACAGGTCACTATGAGTCATGGTTGACCTGAGGACACATAACAACAAGAACAACTTGGAGGTTTTGTAATGATCGCTGTAATCTGATAAACCAAGCAGTCACCAAAGTATGAAGTGTAGAATTTTACTCCCTATTTCCATTACAACTTGATTTAGAGTAAGAGGAATTTTTCCGGGGTATAGACTATATTATCAGTCTTAGGAGAGAGATAAGTAGAGAGAAGCTAGCAGAGAAAGGGGAGAGCTCAGTATCATGAGAGAAAATCAGTTGTGGAGTACACCCATCAGACCCCGTCCCTGTGCTGGGCAGGCCTTCCATCCAGAGCAAGGCCGAGGCACAGGGAATGCTGGTCGGACAGATGCTGAAGATGCAAGAGCCTTGCACCAGAACTACCAGAGAAAAAGCCTTCTGGAGCCAGCACCCTGAATTGGGACTTCTAGCCTCCTACACTAAGAGAATAAACTTCTGTTTGTTACACTCCTCCACTTGTATTTCTGTTATAGTAGCACTAGGAAACTAAGGTCACCCCTACATCTGCCAAAAAGAAAGAAAAATATCTCTGAATTTTTGTGTCGCAGTTGGGTTGTCCTATGATTTTTCTTCAGGTGGAACAACTGGCCTCGCCTCCTTATCTATCCCGAAGAGCATTTCTTGACTATTAGCCGCGTGTCTGGCACTCTTATAGGCATTTTACAAGTACCTTCCAGTGATCATAGCTGCCCCATAAAAGAGACAGGGAGGGTTACCATCATTATCCCATTTTACAGCTAGGAAAACTGAGGAAGGAAGAAGCTAAAAATCTTGCTCAAAGATCCACATCCAGTAAATTGCAGGGTAGATAGGAGCCCTCTCCATGAATGTGCATGTGTGCAACTGACCAGTTAGCAACTTGGGGTATGAACACCCTTGCTCCTGCCTAACGAGAGAGTCGGCTGACACCATGTGGCCAGCCAGGTGAGCGCAGCTGACCCTGGAGCGCCCCCTGGTGCTCATACCGCTCAGGATGCTCACATGGCCCTTCCCTGGGATCCCGCAGAGAGACCGCCTGGGTTCAGGGCATTCTGCATTCTGCATTCTGCAGAACCTTCACTGCTCAGCCTGTATTGTCTCTCGTGTACATTCTTCAACTCTGTGTGATTTCTGGGTCCTCAAGGCAAGACCACAAGTCAAGCACAGAAGCTGGCAGGGACAGTGACCCAGACAAGAGAGACCAGCAGGCAAGAGGAATGGACTCCCAGGAACACCAATTGGGGAGTGCTCATTTCAGCGAGCTGTTGGAGATGGTGCCAAACCATTCCCTCTCTCTTATATGGAGATCTAGGACCTGGGAGAGGCTAGTGGTGGACCAGGTCTAAAACCTCTCCAGAAGGCTCACCCACCCTCCCCAGGGCTGATGGTGACATCAAAGTCCGTAATAATCCTCTTTGGTGGCTACGAGGCTTTGAGAGGCACATTTGTGAATATGGGGCACCTTCACGCTTTCATTCACCCAGCTTTGACGGAAACCTGGCCCTTAAGTGTCATTTCCACTTTGCTCACCTGCAGGCTACCAGGGGAGTCTTCCTTCCCCTCCTCATGCGTCCCAATATCATCAGGTTTGTCTTTGAACTCTAAATCTAGAACCTACTCATTTCTCTCCATCTACCTGTAAGCCGGCTCAGGCTCTTCTCTGCTCTCTGCCCCCCTCTCACCACCCTCTTCCTGGAAAATCTGACCATGTCACACCCTGGTTGGAACCACTCCTTGGTTCTCCACTCTTCTTAAGCCCATGCCCATACTGTAACCCAGCCCCCTCACAGGCTGTCTCTTCTACCCATTCAGTCTTACAGAACTATGTTCCTTCAACACAGCTCAGTCTTGGGGCTTTTACTCCTGCTGCAATGAAATCTCTTCCCACCAACTGCTCTGGCCTGCACATTTGGGGAATTGTTGTCCTGCAGGTCTCAGCTTAGATGTCCCTCCTTCCCTGTCCATCCAAGCCTGGGTCTGTCTCCACAGCCCTTCAGATTCCCAGAAATGCATTGTTACTGGAACTTGTTCACTTTTCAGTCTCTCTACCAGCTTATGGGGACAGGGCTAGGCCTTGGTGGAGGGTTGGGTCTGTCCATCCTGGATGAGAATGGAAGGCCTTCAATAAGAACTTGAACTCGTCCTAAGGGTGACAGCCAGGAGAGGAGCTCTGGAGCAGAGGAGGAAGGGTGCGGAACCCCTCTGGCACTGTTCCTGACCGAGCCGGTCTTTCCAGAACAGGACTGTCCCAGCTGCAGCTGCTTCCTATCAGCAGCCAAAAACTTGATCCGGTTGAGGATGAGTATATGAGATAGGAGTTGATGGAATGGGATAGTGGGAACATGAGAAATCACTGACATGTATTAAAATCCAAATGTTCATGGGAACAGTGCATTGATTCTCAAAGAGAAAAAGTATGTCCCTAGACAATCTTTTACAGCCCGAGTGCCTTCTTTTCCCTGTGACAACAGCCTGACTAATGCACTAGATCAGACGTCTTCCTCTACTGTAGGCCGGTGTCCTGGTCAGCACTCTGGGGTTATACTGAGTTCTTCCCCAGAAGCCAACCTCCCCTAGAAGGGAAGGAGAGAGAGAGAGAGAGAGAGACACCAGTCAGGCCTCAGCTCGGGCAGTAGGGCTGGGAGGTTCTTAGCTCAGGTCTGACCAGGGTATTCCTGCTGGACTCTGTGCTTGGGCCTAGGCCAGCAGAATGGATGAGACCTGTGGGCCTAGGATCCTACTTATCCCCAGTCTAAGGCTAAGATATCTAAGTGTAGGTAACTGCTCTAGGTTGGGTCTCCCTGATGCTCTAGGACTCTCCACACCCTTTGCCTTTAGAGTCCAGCATTCAGATTTGAGTCCAACATCTGTGTGGGACTGAGGATGGTTTTGATACCTCAAGGGCCTGGGTTCAAGTCCAGCAACCCACCATCCACATCATCTCTCTTTGTCTTTCACTCATTCACCAAACATCCCCAGTTCTGGTGTGGGCGACACATAGTGGGGGTCACACTGAGCTTCAATTTCAGAGAGCTTCTCAGATCAGGAGAGAGACACAAACTCAGAAGGTGCCACCCTAGGATCAGCTGTGCGCTTCTAAATGCAGACTCAGGGTCAGGCAGCCCAGAGAAATCAGAGAAGGCTTCCTGGAAGAGGGGACTCTTGGGAAAACCTGAACATGAGCTAGAACTTGTCATAATGACGTGGGGTAGGTACTCCAAAGAGACAGAAAAGTCTGCAGAGGTCCAAAGGAGAGAAGCAGCTTGATGATGTTTCAAAAGGGGGAACAACACCAGCTGTAGAGGGCTGATGAGGAGGGACATCACATGGACGAAGTACCCCTTGGTCCTCGGAGGAGGCTGTCACCTCTTGGAGTCATCCTGCCAAGCAGGTCCAGGCCACCTCAGAGCTCCTCCTGGGCCCTCCAGTCCTGCTGCTTCTGCTTCCACTGCTGGATCTTGTTGGGGAGTGTCTCTGCCCAGAACTTCATCCGGGCTTCCTTTAGTTTCTGACCAACCCTTGGTGCTGGGTTGATCTCCAGGTATTGCTCCGACTGGTCAAAGAGGGGCCAAGAAGGCAGTCCCTTGCCGTTGGGGTCCCTGGAAGGGAGGAACGGGTGAGGGCCAAGGTCTCCTGTGGGGGTAGCTCTGGGGGCAGACTCTAAGATCAGGCATGCCACTTATTCTTACCCTGTCCGGGCAAATTGTGTCCACTGGGCTATCATGGTGAGGCTCAGCTGCTTCTCCTCTTCCGTGGCCTCTGGGAAGGCTGGTAGAGGTGGCAGATGGTGTCAGGCTCCAGTGGGGAGTGGAGACACCTCAATCTCCCCGCTGCTGACCCAAGACGTCTGTCCCTGTACTCCCCTCCCCCAGCCTTGGAGTCAGGTGCCTTGGGGGCTGCAGGTCCATCCTCACCCAAAATGGAACGCTCATCCGTGAGGAAGGGGCCCCCAAACATAAAGGCCATCTCAGCCCCATGGTCAGCTTTCACCCAGTCTGGCTTGATTTTTGCAAAAGAACTGGGTCGATGCTGGAACTCATAAAAAAAGACAGGGCACCCAGAATCTGCAGAGAAAGGTCGGGATCTGAGTTAGATGCCCACAGCCTGGCTACGATCTGCTTCTGGCCGGACCAGTCCATCGTATCAATACAATAATAATAATGATGACCAAGTGATTAGCAGAGAGCATTCACTAATCACCATGAGGTGTTGGACACTGTTTTGTGTGCTGTATGTGGTTTAATCCATTTAATCTCCATTCACTTCCTAGTCTTGTAAATGAGATTCCATTATTCTCCCAGTCTTACAAATGAGGAAACTGAGGCACAGAAGGGTTTTTTTGTCTCTTACACAAGGCTACACAGGAAGAAATGTGACCTTTACCCCCCATTTGTGTGTGTGTGTGTGTGTGTGTGTGTGTGTGTGTACTGTCAAATTGGATCGGACTGGTACAGGAGGAGATTGTCCCTCTTTCTCCAGCAGAGCATCTGGTGGATTCTCTGGGATTGCAGTGCAACTTCTTGCCACTAGGCCACCAGAGCTCGCTGAAATGTAAGATTTTCTAGGACCTTTGATAAGTGCTGTCAAGTCAGAACTGACTCTTGGCTGATCCTCCATTGGGTTTTTAGAGGCAGTAAAATAGTACAGAGGGAGATTATCTGTCTTTTTCCTATGGAGCAGCTGATGGATTTAAACCATGTGTCTCTGGGTTGGCAGCGCAGGCCAGCAGGGAATATCTTCCAAACCAAAAGAAAGCAAGACTTTTCTTCTGGGGTGCCAAAAGCAGAGGAAATTGTCCATCTTTGAATCCCTAGGGATTGGTGAGAAGCCAGCTGGGTGACCACTGCCAGTTCACTCACCTTTCTGAGGTTTGGTGTTTGCATTTTTTCCCTTCAAAGTTTCTTGCTGCGATCGGCTCTCATGATGGTGCTGATGCATCCCAGAGAGGAAGCGGGGTGTGGGGCTGGTGGTGGACGTGGGGTACCAGGAAGAGCCTGCACCCTATCCCTGCCATGTCACCTTGGAGGGTTCAGATTCTGAGCCAGACTGAAAGTAGCAGGGCAGATGGACAGGGCTAAGCTTACCTCGGAGACTTCTTGAGAAGTTCAAGGTGGGAAAGACGATGATACTGTCTCCCAGCAAGTCCAGAAAGGCATCGTGTTTGTTCCTCAGGTCGGAGCTATGGGGTAGGTATTCATCTAGGGTGGTGATCATCAGCTCAGGAGGGATGTCCTATGGCAGGAGGCCAGGGTTAGGCTGTTCAGGGCCCATGGCTATGACAAACACTCCCAAAAAGCCCCAGGCCCTCCCCACTGCCCTTCCTGTAGCCTTCCTGTTTATCTGAAGGCCCTAGATGAAATCTGGGCAAGATGAGCTCATATTTGGAATCAGATCCCAGCTCTGCGACCACTGCTTGGCCATGTGACCTCATCCAAGTCACCAAGCCTCTCAGAAAAAGTAATTTCCTGTCTGGCAAGATCATTTGGCAGCAGATATGAAGTCACCAGTGTAGGGTCTGACATGGTCCGGGGGCTCAGATACAGTTAAGAAGAAGTAAATGAGAGGACAAATGGTGAAGGCCACCTCAGCTCTGGAGAGAGGGATGACGTGAACAGGAAGACCAAAGGGTTTTAAGGAAGGGAAATACATAGATTGATTCCCTCTGGGGGTGGGCTGTTCACATACAGGGCCCAGTGTCTTCACAACAGCTCTGGGGCAGAGGGCATATCATCCCCATTTACAGATGAACCAGTGGGTTCAGAGGGATTAGGATAACTGTGGGGGGAATGACCAGGGTCAGGATTTTCTCCAGGGCAAATTGATTTCAACAGCTGGGGCTCTGGGATCAGACAGAGCCAGCTGAAGCCCTGCCTTTGTCCTTTCCCTCCTCTCCCTGAGACCTTGAGTCTCAGTTTTTTCATCTGTAAAATGGGCATCATGAAGCTCCTGCTTCAAAGAATTGCCACAAAGATTGAGAGATAAATGGCTATCCTAGTGCTCAGCACAGGGACTAGCACTTCGCATGTCGTCCTTTTGAGGCAGACTCTGTGACGGCAAGGATGAGGATGACGAGGAGAATCTTTCTTTGAGAACCACATTGACTCACATCTAAAGGGTCTGCTAATATTCAGCAGTTGGACAAGACTTGATGGGAGGGGCAGCTGTGGTGCTGGAAAGCAGGGGCAGAGACCACGCTGGGGGGCACCCCCCCCGGCCTCCCTCTCGTCTCACCGTGTCATAAATTAGGAGCTTCTGTCTGTTCAGAATGTCATATTTGCTCATCTGCTCCAGTTGGTCCAGTAATCCCCAGCCCTGTGGGGACATCAAGTCTCTCTCAGTGACCATTGTCCCCAGCCCTCAGGCAGAGGCAGGTGAGCAGGCTCATCCCAGTGCTTCCGTTCAGGAGTGGCCTAACCTGTCAGTGAACACACCAAGGTAGAGTCACTGAGAAACAAAACAACACAATGGGTAATCCATTGGCGTAAGGACAGAAAGGGGAAAGAGAGAGAATTTGCTCCACATTTTCATAGAATAACATCAAACTCCCCCAAAACCAACCAGATAGCAATTGCAGAGCATGTTGGAAACATTAAATGTTTTATATGACACCGCTTTAAGAGCACAGACTCTGAAGCTTGATTGTTTGAGTTCAAATCCCAGCTCCAACTTGGGATCCTAGGGCGTGACTTGGGTAACTTACTTACCTCCACTTTTTTTTTTCCATCTGGATAAAATTTTTATTTTGTTAAAATACATAGATGTACTTAATTAACCTCCACTTTTTAAAAATTTCATGGGTGTAACTTGCCTCTCTATGATTTTGAATTGTGGTGCTGGTGAAGGATACTAATCTGCTAAAAGAACGAACAGGTGTGTCAAGGAGGAAATGCAATCAGGGTGTTCCTTAAAAAGTAGACTGGGGGTGGGGGAAAGAGGAGGAAATTGTGCAACAATGAAAGAATCTTTTTAAAGAGAAAAGTGAACTGGGGGGGTAGGGATAAAAATGTGCAACACTGAATGAATGGAAATCCAAGCTGTAAACTTTAGTTAAAATGTCAATGGGAAAAAAAAAAAGAAAAGTAAGGATGGTGCAATTCCATCTCACATACTTTGGGCATGTTGTCAGGAGAGGCCAGTCCTTGGAAAAAAGACATCAAGGTGGGAAGGGGTCAGAGAAATAAAAAGGAAGACAAGATGGACAGACACGGTGACCGTAGCAATGGGCACGATCAACCCTGAGGACGAAAAGGGATGGAACAAGCTTCGGATCTGTTGTCCATAGAGCTGCTGCTTTGAGTTGAGTTGACTTGATGGCACGCAGAGACTGAAGATTGTTGTGAGGAATATGTGGGTGAAAACATCCGAAGGCCCTGACCCAGAGTAAGCACTGGTAAAATCACAGTTCATTCCTTATTACTGATGCTTTTTGTCCCAGCAAGTCAGAAGTGACCATAACTGACCTCTTGGTGGGTTTTCAGAGGAAGTAATAGCAATGGGAGGAGACTGCCTATCTTTCTTCCATGGAGCAGCTGGTGGGTTCAAAACATATACCTTTGGGTTGGCAGTGCAATTCCTTACCACTAAGCCACCAGGGCTCCCTTGTTAATACTAGGCTCTTTGTTAATTGCTGTGAGAACAGAACATTCTCAGATGAGTGAATATGAACAGTGCAGATGTTAATCTTCACCAGGAAAAAAAAGAGCTAAACTTAGTCCACAGGAGTTAAAGGAGCAAAATTTAAAAAAAAAAGTCTACAACTGCCAAAGGGGCCCTTTAGAGTAGTGAGAGAAGATCTTCACCCTGAAACCCACAGCGTCCCTTTTCAGCAGGAAGTAGCTAAGAGAATACGCCATCCCCGTTTCCTTATGAATCAGGGTGAAGTCTTTCTCAGGGAGGAGTGATAGGGAATGGCAAAGGACACACTGACAAAGTAGATTAATCAGAACTGGCTTTGACAAGCACTGTGGCAATTGGACAATTAAAACAGACATTCGGGGGGGGGGAAGAAGACGAACTGGGGAGGAGAGTAGAGAAAACAGTGCAACCATGAATGAATGAGAACCCAAAATCTCTGTAAATGTTCATTAAAACTAATAAAATTTAATAATAATTTTAAAAAATATGCAAAAAAGTATAAAATGGAAAAAAAGTCTACAAAATCATAAGTAGACATCAGTTGTGTTCCTGTACAGAGAACCCAAACACTTATCAACTGATGACTGGATAAACAAAACATGATACATCTGTGCACTACAGTAGCACTCATATTACTCCATACACTACTACTGTAGTTGTTGTTAGGTGCCATCAAGTCGAGTATGACTCATAGCGACCCTTTGAACGAAAGATCTGAATCCTGTTCTATTGTGCACCATCCTTACACTTCCTGACACACAAGAGCCCATTGCAGCAGTCACTGTGTCAATCCACATGGTTGAGGGTCTTCCTCTCCTTTGCCGACCCTCCACCCTTCCCAGCATCATGTCCTTCTCCAAGGAATAGCCCCTCCTAGCAACATGTCCAAAGTAAGTGAGGCGAAGCCTCATCATTCTTGCCTCCAAAGAGCATTCTGGCTGCACCCTCTCCAAGACAAAGCTGTTTGTTCTCTTGGCCCTCCCTGGGATGTTCAGTGCTATTCTCCAACACCACAGCTCAAAAGCATCAGTTCTTTTTTCTGTCATCCTTGTTCATTGTCCAGATCTTGGATGCATAGCTAGTGATCGGAAAGACTATGGCCTGAAGCAGACTCACCTACTACTACTAGACACTGCTAGAATATATTAATCTCTCATTATCATCAAGGCAGAACCAACTCATAGCTGACCTTCTAAAGGCTTCTGAGAGGCAATCAATTGCACAGGAGGCTATTGCCCATCTTTCTCCCAAAGAGCAGCTGGTGGATTTGAACCTTTGAGGTGGTAGAGCAAGTCTCTGTACACTAGGGCCACCAGAGCTTCCATATTACTGTGTAGAGTAAAAAAGGAATGGAATACGAATATATACTACAATAGAGGTGAATCTTGAACACATGGTGTTAGGCCAAAGAAGTCAGGCCGCAGCACCGACATACTGTGTTATTCATTTACAGGAGATGTGCCGTGAAGACAGATACACAGACGGTAGATTAATGGACACTGGGGGCTTGAGAGAGCGGGGAAAGGGCAGTGACTGCTAATGGGTACAAGGTTGTTTTCTGGGGCACTAGGAACACTCTGGAATTAGATGGTGATAGCAGTTGTATGAATCTAAGTGACACAGGCACCTTGTTGTCAGTTCTAACGCACAGCGGCTCTCTAGGAGGGAGTAGACTGCCGATGGGGTCACCCAGGCTCCAGATCTCACCTTCCTCTTGTGGAGTGGCTCCAGCCTTTAAGTTAGCGGCCAAGTGTTTTAACCACAGTGCAAACAGGACTCCTTACTCAGTGCCTAACCCCCTGCCACTGAGTAGATTCGGACCCAGTGATCCTTGCTGGAGGACAGAGCAGAACTGTCCCAAGAGGGATTGAGGGGGTTAAGTCTTTACAGGAGCAACTAGTGGCTGGGATCACTTGCTGACCTATTAGCAGCCCAGCACTTCATTTCTCACTTCTCAGGGTTCTCACACAACATCCACTTGGTTAAAAATGTAATTGTGTTCATGTGGGTCGCAAGCAGAGTGCAGGGAAATGTCCCCCTCAGAACTGAGGCAAGACTCCCCCTGAGCCATCCAGGCTCTGAGGACCATCCTTGGCTACAAGCCCTGTATTCTGCACCACGCAGGTTTGGCCAGTCTGAGAGAACCAGCTGTGTTGCTTTGCCCTCACTTCCACTTTCAGGGCAGCTGCAACTGTGGGTGGGTGGGGCAAGTGTTTGGGGGACTGTTTAACTCCTTTTTGTCACTAAAGAAACACACATTCTCTCCAGCATGCATCTGGACATCCACTGGGGACTGATTCCAAAGGAATAAGTCACCATGGACACGTTTGTGTTCACTGCACTGTCCTCTTCAGTGCTAAAAAAAAAACAGAAGCCTCCAAAATGTCTCTTGTGCAAGAACACTGGGATGAGATGATCCCTTTGGTTTTCCCCCTAGAGTTACAGGTTTTATTTTACGTTTGCCTGCTGATTTCATAGCATCCTATGTGGTTTAAGTGTATTTCTATCAGCCCAACTCAGCTCATTGCTATTTAGTCAATTCTGACTCATAACAACTCTCCCTCTGTCAGGTTTCTGATGCAGTAAATCTTAATGAAATGCTGTAAATCTTAATGAGAGGAGAATTTTTAAACTTGCTGACATATCAGATACCAGTCAGTCTCTCATGTACGGAGTCACACTAGCCAGTTTCTCAGAACCTGATGTGTAAGCTAGACTCCAAAGCTGGATGTTCAAACCCTACCTAGAAGGCTACTTTGTGCAAAAGCTTGGTCCTCAAGCAGAAAGCACGTGCTTTTTGAAAGTGAAGCCCTACCTGAGTGACCTTGGATGAGTCCTTTAAACTTCCCTGCACCTTAGATTTTTCACCTATCAAATGAGCATTACATGAACATCTGTTCTGCTGGATGATGATGTTAGGATGACAGGGGACTGGCCAGGGCAGGGCTTTGGAGGGCACAAGGGCTGGAGGACACTCACCTTTGGAATGAGCCAGCCCATCTCATGGTTGTTGATGCCTATGAGGAAGGGCACAGGGCGAAACTTCCTCTCTCTCAGGAGCTCCTTGGGGCTCTTGGGAAAGAAGGTACCATCGATGGTGTAGGGCATGACTGAAATTTTCTGCAGGAAAAAGCAAGGCCAGGGAATGTGTCTGAGCTGCTGACCTAGGAAGGGAAGTGATGCGAATCACCAGGACTCGTGGCTCCAAGGGGGCACTGGGACAACAGGCCACTGGGGTGTCCAGACAAGCTTCTTCTAGAAGACAGGTCTGCTCTGAGGTCTGGTCATGGTCCTCCACTCAGGCCCCACGTCTTGCTGGGGTCACTGTTTATTCCTCTTGTGGGGAGCCTGTACCAGGCCTCACCCCAGAGCCCTGACTGCCCGTTTACTCCAGTAGGTGGTTGACAAGGCCCCCCTCTGTGCTGGTGACCACCACTCCCCCAAAAAGAGGAGAGCATACCTGGCGGGAATCCTTGGTGAGGATCATTTCTTCACTTGTCTTCTGCCGAAGACATTGCAACATCTCAGCTACAGGGTAGGAACTACAGCCCAAGGAGTCTGCGAAGTCCTGGGGACAAGCAAAAGTCTCCTCTGTCCCTTGCAGGCATCCACCCCCACCTCCTGGTCCTTTGCTTCCAGGAGGAGAGGACAAGTCTGTGGTTGGTGAAGTCTAAGATCACAGCCCACCAGGACAAGTGGTCTCTCAAGCCATCTTATGTGTCCCCAATCACACTGAACTATCATGACCTCTGTGTGTGTGACAAAGGTCCTTTTTGTCCTTGTGAGAACAGGGCTGTCATCTCCCCAGAGCTAAAGGTGCCAACAAAGTGTTACAGGATAAACAAGGAATTCAGATAGGGTTCGTAGAGGGACTGCAGAAGTGGGGGCAAAGTCTGGGGTGGTAATTCGGAGGCTGGGACAGGGCTGAGTCCAGGAGCCAAGGGGAGGGGGGCAGGGGGGCAGCTGCAAGTCAAGGGCGTGTGGCTGCTACAAGGAGAATTTGGTAAAGGAGTGAAAGGTTGAGTTGCACTTTTAAGATAGGGAGTTGAGGGGAGCTCTGGTGGCCTAGTGGCAAGGAGTTGCAACTGCAATCCCAGAGGTGCACGGTTCAAATCCATCAGATCCTCTGCTGGGGAAGGAGGGACAATCTCCTCCTGTACCACAAGGGGTAATTTGTCCGTGCTGAGGCCCTCACTGTGTTCCTGAATCACCCTGTACTCAAAAAAGGTAAAGGAGTCTGGCTTACTCTTCCCTTTGGCTGAGGTCTGGGGTCAACCAGTCTCCCAGACGCGGCTCACTGCCACTCATTCCACCCCACCCCACAATGTTGTCCCTGTCTTACCTCTTCCCAGGCCCCAAGCACTCCAGCGCTGCTCCCCCCAATGTACCTTCCACCCCAGGACCCCGGTGAGCTTCTGAGAAGGCTGCTCAGCCTTCTCAGTGCCACAGACCTGCCTCTCTCTGTCTGTAGAGAAAGTCCACATCGCCAGGCGAGGCCGTGATGGCCTTGAGTGCCGCCCCTCCACTCTGCCAGCCCCCTCACTAAGGGCTCCATCCCCTACCCTGTGCCGTTCTCGCCTCACTGAGGGCTGGCTGTGCTCAGGACCTGTCCCCTGTGGCACAGCCCCGGCCTTTGTAGATACTGTTTCCATCCAGCACCTTCCCTGTCTACCCTTCCAGCCCTTCCAGTGGGGCTCTAAGGTGGGGTTGCAGAGTCTGAGTGGAGACCTCTCAGGCAGCTGGTTGCTTGGGAACTTGGGAACTTGGGGCCTCCTTCTTCATGCTGCTCCCCAAGGCCCCACTTTTGGGAGGATGATGCTCAGTGAGGCCTCCTCCAGGAAGCCATCCTTGACTGCCCCCCACTGGTTGTTTCTTCTCAGCTCTCCTCGTGGATTTGTCTGTGTTAACAGAGAGTCCCTCTGGGAGCCCAGGACCAGGACAGGGAACCAGCAGAGTGTCAGGGCAAAGAAGACACAGACCTGAGCCAGGGACAGTGGGTTAGAATCCAGTATCCCAGCGATGGTGATGACGCCGCTCTGGGAGATGGCCCTGTGGAACAGCCCCTCAGCCAGTGGGGACAGGACCTGGTGCAGCAGAGAGAATGAGCACTGTCAGAGGACGGGGAGCTGAGAGCCCCTCCCAGCCACCCCACGGCCCTGCGTGCAGACTTACCAGGCCAGAAACAATTATGGCACCTGCAGATGACCCAAAGATGGTGACACAGTTGGGGTCACCCCCAAAAGAGGCGATGTTTCCCTGAACCCAGCGCAGAGCGGCCACCACGTCAAGGAAGGCCCAGTTGCCTGGTGCGTGCTCGTCTCCAGTGCTGGGGACAGGGAGGGACAGAGATGACCTAGCACAGGCTGACTTCTGGACGCTGGGCGATCTGTGCTCCCGTGGTCTAGCCTGGTGCTGGGCCATGTGAGGAGCACATACACCTGTCACACGGTGTCAGCAGGTCTGGCCAGACCGTCAGCCAGGGCTGGCTCTCAGACAGCTGCCGGAGCCCGCTCTTCTCTTTCTTGACACCATGCAAGGCTCTTGACTCCAGGCCAGGAAAAAAACACCCAAGAGGCCAAGTTCATTATACACTCTGGCTTTGATTGGGCTCCTTCCCCAGGGTAAGGCCTCAGAGAGCACCCTTCTCTGCCCAGGCAGCACCAGAGAGAGGGTCATAGGTCTACCTGAGAGACCCCAATTTAGGCTCTGGGTCCCCACCCTTGACGCCCAGGAACTCTTGTGATCCAGCCTCTCTGAGCAGTTCAGGGTCCTCTCTGACTTGCCATCTCACCTGAGGAAGCCAGGGATGCCAAGGCGATACTGGATAGTGACCACTATCACATCCCCAAGGGCAGCCAGCGCTGACCCATCTTGGGAGGTGGCGGCACCAACTAACATTGAACCCCCGTGAATCCACACCATGACCTGCAGCGATAACCAGGGGGCAGTGACTGCCTGGTCTTGGGGGCCCAGGAGCCCACCCACCAGTCGGGAGTTCTAGGGTGGGGTGGGGACAGGAATGGAGAGGGGATAGGCCAGGCATAGCTTCAGACCGGCTTCCCAGGCCCTGCAGTGGTCTCAGCTGGGCTGTAGATGTTGAGGATCAGGCAGTCCTCCGAAACAGGGAAGACCAGTTGCTTTCCATTCAGTGTAAACCTGGCGTTCTTCATTCTCTCCACTTCCTGCAGGCACCTGGAGCAGAAGGTGAGCCCGAACGTCAGCTGGTCAACCTCCTATCCCAGCCCTTTCCCCACCAACCAGCCTGGCTTGTCCACCTCCGCCAGGCTACTCACATTGGGGGCGCCTTGCTGGCATCCCGAACACCCTCCCAGGACTGTGCTGGGCGCGGGGCTGAGAACCGGCCGGGTCCCACTGGTGCCTGGGCATACGGGATGCCGAGGAAGACATTCACCCGGCGGGCCGAGCTTTTCACCTCCACCTGCCGGCCTTGCACGCGGCCCAGAGCAGTATCCACTTCAGGATGAGTGGCTCCAGGCTCTGAGAGCAGAGAAGAGGGGCCTGGGGTGAGTCTGCAGCCTTCACGGGGGTGGAGGCAGCCCGTGGGATCATAGAGTGAAGATGGTCTTAGATCTGCTCACCACTCGCTCCCTGAGTACTTGTTGTGCCAGGCCCTTCTGTTCAGCTTCCCAGCAGCCCTGTGAGATGGTCCCACAACCACCCTTGTCTCCCTCCTCTGGCTTGTCACACCGTCACTCCCCTCCAAGCCAAAGTGAAGTACCCAGCTTCTCCTGGGACCCACAGTTGTGATGTGTGGACTTGGATCCACCATGCCCTGCCTCTGAACCTCAGCTTACTCATTTGTCAGACAGGGCTGCTCTGGGAATCAGGCAAGGGGTGAGGGAAAAGTCCTGGCGTCCTCTCTTTTAAGGGCCTTCCCCTGAGCAGGCTATGCCCCTGCTCCAACCCCTCCAGCCCTAGCACTCTACTGCCCCTTCCTCCAAATCCTCCCCAGTCAGAACTCCCACCCCTGCAGGCCTGCCAAGGGAGCCTCACCTGTGGCCGTGACTGTGACATAGAATGCCAGGAACATACAGACCACCCAGGCCTGGACTCGGAAACTAGCTCTTGTTACTGTCCCCATGCTCCTTGCTCCCAACTGATTGTGGACGGAAGTGCCAGGTTAAGTGGGGTTCCTGTCCTTCAACTCCACTGTGTTCTACAGGGAATATTGTGAAAGCTTGAATCACCTCCCCTGACCAAAGTTCTCTGCCTGGCACACCTAGGAGGAGGCAGGACCTGGGGAGTGGCCTGCAGAGGCCTGAGTGACAGACAGACACAGGAAGGAGCCCTACAGCCCTAGGTTCAAATCCCTGCTCTCCCAGCTCTGTAACGTCCATGAAATCCCGTGCGCTCACTTCAGGATGCCCCTAGCATCAACTTGAGCCAGGGATGACCAGTGACCATGGATCCAAAGCTTCAAGTAGGCCTGCTGGGATGGCTGAGAGAGCTTTGGGTCAAAGCAGGAGGCCACAGGGTCCTGTGACCCAGGATGTCCAGGTTGTACTTTAGGAGTGACTGTGTAGCCCTGCTTCCTTTGAGGACCCTCAAGTGACAGAGCAGAAGCAGGGTCGGGTCCTTTAAGAGCCCTGAGGGTTTCTGAGGATGAGGATGGGGAAAGAGAAAGATCCTCATTAACGAGTTGTCTAAAGCAAAAAACCAAACCCATTGCCATTGAATTGATTTTGACTCATAAAGACCCTCTAGGCTAGAGGAACTCTGGTGGCTTAGTGGTAAAGAGTTGTAATGCCAACCCAAAGGCATTCAAATCCACCAGCTGCTCTGTGGGAGAAAGATGGGCAGTCTCTTCCCATGTGGTTCACCGCCTCTGAAAACCTGCAGGGGGCTCAGCTGTGGTTCAGTTCCTACTCAATGGTCCACAACAGTACAGAGTAGAATTGCTCCACAGGCCCCCGAGGTTGTAATCTTTAAGGAAGCAGACATCTTTCTCTTGCTAAGTGGATGGTGGATTTGAACTGCTGACCTTTTGGTTAGCTGTCAAGTTCTGAACCACTGCACCACTGGGGTTCCTTTTTTTTTTTTTTCAATTTTTATTATTTTTGTGTGAGTGTACCGTCAAATCAGATCTGACTGGTACAGGAGGAGATTGTCCCTCCTTCCCCAGCAGAGCATCTGGTAGATTCGAACCATGCGCCTCTGGGATTGTAGTTGCAGCTCCTTGCCACTAGGCCACCAGAGCTCTCCTTGGGGTTCCTTTAACAACCAGCAGCTCCCTTCGAATCCTAGAAGACATGACTTAAAAGCTAGGCCTCCTTTGCTTGTACAAGATATTTCACTGCTATAGGTCTAGTTGTACATACATACAACTTGTATGTCCTTGGAGAGGGGCATCATGCTTGGGAAGGTGGGGGGACAGCGCAGGAGGGGAAGACCCTCTATGAGGTGGATTGATTCAGTGACTGGGGTAATTGGGATGGGTGTGTCAGAGGCAGTGCGATTGGCACAGGACAGAGCAGGGTTTAGGGTCGCTATGAGTTGCAAGCGACTCGACGGCACATCACAACAACAACAACAAATAGGTCTAGTTTCCACATTTATAAAACACTGATGCTTATAGGCCCCACATCACATAACTGGAAGTGAAGTTATATGTGTAAATACACGAGAACTGGCTCCAGAGCTGGGTCGAGGCCTGTTCTAGCCTCCTGATAGGCCTGTCTGGGTTTCTGTCTTTTGCTGTGTCTGAGATTCCCCCTCTGAACTTAGTGTCAAGAACATGGCTGGTGGGGTGGGAGGCTGCCAGGACAGTGTGGGGACTGAGGGCTCCGGCACATATTTTGCTGATTCATGGCTGAAAATGCTGCCTTAAGAAAGGATACAATGAGAGTCGTGCCAGGTCAAAATGCCAGGGTTTCAGCTGGCATCAAGAGCTGGAGAGAAAAACCTTCCAACCGGACCTTCTTCTTGTAAAAAAATAATTACTGCAGCTTCCTTCCAGAATTTTCCTTGGCAATCTCCCTGATACGGGTGGTTTCCTCTTCCGGGACCTTAGTCCACAGGCCTGGGGGCAGGCAGAGGCCTCTGTGGTCTTAGTGCTGACTCCAGTCCTTCTCTTGTCTCTCCCCACTCTGGGCTTTACTCCATGTTGTCCTCTTATCAAGCCCCAGTCTCTTTGTTTATTCTGTAAAGGTTTTGGCTCTTGACCAAAATAGTGTGTGTGTGACAGTTTTTAAATAGCCGCATGCTTTCTCACAGCTGGTGGTGGAAACGGCAATGATGGGTAAAATCTGCCGTGCTCATTGACCATCCCTTCAACTGGTGTCATATCTGCCATGCCCAGGTCCACAGGCCTCTGCTGCTGGGCCCTGCACACCCCAACCAAGCCTCCTTTTAAGGATCTTCAGCCTCTCCATTAGATCACCTGGATTAGCTTTTCCCCCACAGCCTCGTCCTCTGCCCCGCTGGACTTAGATACTGGCAGGAAGAGTTGCATCAGTTCCCATTGCTGTGGGCCGTCCATACCGTCTGCTCTCCCTCCTAACTGTGTGATGGGCCCACCAGGGCTGCACTAGGATGAGGCGAGTGCGGGCCCGAGCCACGGCATCTAAGAAGCACTAACTGTCAGGATCTTGCAAGTGTAAGGTTGGCATCCATGGTGACTATCTTCTTAAATTCTGTGGGACTCTGCCCCTGTCTCCTGCTGTCTGCTGGGCGCTGGATCATCAGGATCTCTCTTCATTTACTCTACACCAGCCTCCTTTGGCTCCACTTTGGCTTACAGTCTTTGCCTCATTCTTCTGCTCTTGGTTGCAAGGTAGAAATCATCCACATTTGTTGTCTCCACGAGTCTCTCCTTCCAGCCTCTCCCAGGAGTTGTCCTTGACTTGCACTCAATCTGTAAGACTCGTCGTTGACTCAGTGTTCATGTCTCCAATCCAGCTCACTCTGAATCTATTCTAGCAGTCTACCTTGGCAGGTATAACCTCTGCTCTTTATTCTTATGACCTGATTGATTAAAACCTAGGCTCTGGGTGGTAGGAGCACCTCAAATCCAGCCAGCTCAGAATCTTATTACAAAGCTGCCTATGATCACTGGGATAAGTGTTCCCATAAGCTCTGTACCTTACTGACTGGTTCTACCACGTTCCCTATCATCCTGAAGCAACTGGCTTGTTAGAACAATGGAATGGCTTTCTAAAGATTAAGTTATGGGGCCAACCAAGTCCAGGAATTAGGGGGTGGAAAGGAAACTGGCACCACTCACTTTGACGCCTAGTGAGTGGCCCACCCTTGAAAGTTTTGCTTCCATTCCCTGTAACCCTATGCTCTGTGAGTCTGAAAGCCTTAGTTTTGGAAACATTTGCACCGAGAACACAATGATTCTATTGAAATGAAAGATAAGAATCTCATCTGGACACTTTACACTGTTCCTTCATCTAGATCAACAGGTGAAGAAGGAAGTTCCTGTATTGTCTGTTATGATTAATCTTAATCTCGATGATCAGAGTGAAATGAATTATAAAGATGTGTGTCTGGAGTACAGGAGACTCCTGAGGTCGTCTGTCAGTGCTACGGTCTGTGATTCAAGACAGTGAAAAGCCTCTGCTACCAAATGCGACATGACTACTGATGCCTCAGGAACGAAGGTTTGGGCAAGCCCATGAGGCAAAGAACCACAAACAGCACAGGTGCTTTGTTGTTGGCCGAGGGAAAAGACAGAGATGGAGACACTCAGGAATGGAGTTAGGCCAGAAAGCATGAAGGCAGGGGGCTAACAGCTAGGAGAACTGCAGCCCCTATGCTACACCTTTCTGACTTTTTATTGAGAATCACCAGGAAATAAACAAAGGAAAGTCACAAGGGAGTAGTAAATAAAAACAAAGGATCATGGGGAAGTAAATCACAAAGAAAAATCTTTTGTAAGTAAGGCCGAATTCTCCTCTATTGTTTACCTTATGCTCATCTCAGGAGGGAGGGATTTAGTAAATGCAAACTAAGAATTATGTATAAGGATTGCCTTAGTGCCTACCCCTGGAAACATTTAACGATTGCCTTAGTGCTACAGGGTGAATTCTAGCTTGTAGTACGCCTCCCTCATAGCCTGATATAACACTTGGTTTATTATTAATATTAAATTTGATATTCGACTTCCCACAGTGCTTGCAGAGGGCAAAGGAAATAACAACTGACTGGGAGAAGAAAGTAGCTCAACACACCAACTACAACCATGTGACCAGTTGCAGAAATGAGGACTCTCATTGATATTAGACACTAAACAACGGCACTGAACAACGCAGAGAGACCAGTTGCCCTAGGGGACCGAAAGTGATGTGACCAAGCCAAAGGTGGGTGACTCTAATCTGCGGCCCTCAGCCCTGCTTTTCATTGTTTTTGCTCAGTCTTCTAGGTCGTATAACCCTGGTGTGTCCACTTGCCATACAGGGACAACATGTGCTCGCTGTGAAGCTGAACACTGTGACATTGATGTGTCAAATGCGATAACGGTTACCCATGGTGGACAGTGTTTAGTGGCGCTCCCCGGTTGAAAAAAGCTTGGAAGCAGGAGTGGCATCCTCTTCCATAAACAGCTTGCCTTCGGAAACCCTGTGAACCTCGAGAAAAGATGAAAAGTCGTGAACACAAGTGTCGAGGACTTTCATTCATAGGGTCGCTATGAGTCGCCTATGACTTGATGGCACTGAACAAAAACAACAATTGTTATTTCTTCCTTCTATGAAATATTTTTGTTTTCTTTTTACAAAATTATAAAATATATGATATAAACAGGAAGTGCATTCCAGGCTGTATTAGTTGTATCATATTAGACACAAGTGTGATTTTATAACTGTCCTTAAGATTTTGGTTAAGGACATGTGTATGAGTGCTAAGTGTAAGTGCTAACCAGGAAAGGTGGATTGTGATGGTTAAGGTCGTATCAGCCTCGGCTCCCCAAGATTCTCCGGTTTGGCAGTTATGGGGTTGCCACTTTCTTGATGAAGTTTGATGTAATGTAATCATTCCTTTCATGGATTTTGCTGTGAACAACCAGTTGGGTTTGGGTGGTATCATCAGGAGTCTGGCTTGCACTGATGTAAGGACGCAGGGCTCCGTCTGATTTTTGCTCCATCTCCATCATGCATCTGGATGCTCACCTCTGCTTTCTTGGACCAAGAGCCTCCCTTGTCTACCAACCTAGGATTCATCAGCCTCGCAGCTGTGTCATGACCTGGGATTTGCTAGTCTTTATCAGCATATGAGTCATTTCCTTTGTGCTCATATGCGCGTGAACACACACACACACACACACACCCTCCATACTCCATTTGCTTTGTTTCCCTGAAGGCAGTCCTGGACAGAAGAGGAATGTGGAATAAGACTTAAAAGCACAGAAATGACTAGGCTGGCTTGTCTCACATAGTGTGAAGGAACCTCTAAGATGTGGCCCTCAGTAGTCTAGAGCGCTTGGAACCAGATGCACTCATACGCCTCAAGTTTTACCCAAATAATAAACATCCATGCGGGCTGAACAGTAGCCCAGGGATGTACTTTCTCCTTGGGACAACCAATCACATGAGACCATGAAGGGAGCATTTGCCTAGGGAGAAGGCTTGGTGCGCAGGAAGGGCAATGAGAATCACAGGAAGGAAGTGGAGAGATTGCTGTTATAGGGGACGGATTGTAATTGGTGCCATGAAGCAAAAATTTTTGTGAGTGTCTGACTGGAAAACCAACCAGTAAATTTTCCCCTAAAACAATTTAAAAAGAAAGACAAAAAATATGAGTAGTAATTAATTAATTTTAAATAATTTGAATAGTAATTATTTTAAAATATTCTTTATTTAAAATAGCCCCCATATTGATCTCTTAAATGCCCATCATCTGATGAATGACTAAACACAGTTTGATATATCCAAGTATTTGGATATATCACTTTTATTTCACTTAGAAATAAAAGCAAAGAACTACTGATTGAATTTTTCTTTTAAAAAACCCATCCATGGGGCGGGAACAGGAAGTGGGATTGGACTGAGTTCTGGGCGCAAGGCGGCCTCTTGAAGAGAGCAAAGGAGCCCACCTGGTCGCAGAGAGATAGGACTACGATGTTCCGGATCGAGGGCCTCGCGCCGAAGCTAGACTCGGAGGAGATGAAAGGGAAGATGCACGAAGATGTGATCTCTTCCATACGCCACTTTCTCATCTATGTGGCTCTGCTGCGAGTCACTCCTTTTATCTTAAAGAAATTGGATAGCATATAAAGATTTGGCATTACATGAGAAGGCATAATAGGAAGACCCTGGTTCAAGTTTCCACTCCTATTTGCAAATGAATAGACTCAAAGACCTAAGAAACTCTCAGATTGAATAGACCTTAAAATTCTACTTGTTAAGAACAATTTGCTGTGGACATCATAGCTAAAATATAAAACTGTGAAGAATGAAAGACTTTCTTGTAATCATGTGGCACACCTTTATACCTGTGATATTCAAGCTCCAAGAATGGTGGTATAATTGTAAATAATGTCAAACTTCATTTTCTAGCAAGTATTAATTATAGCAAAGCGTGTCTGAAACAAACAAACAAAAAAACCAAAAAAACCCACAAACAAAAAAACCCCACAAACAAACAAACCTCATCCATGTGAAGCTAAAGAATCCAGGCACAAATTTCATTTCTGTTACATTCTAGAAAAGCAAAGGACTACAACAAAAAGCAATGCAGTGGTTGTCTGGAGTTAGGAACAGGGAAAGTATTGAACCCAGAGGAGTTCAGGGGAAATTTGTGAAGACACACAAGTATTCTGAAGCTTGACAGGTAGTGACAGCTGTATATTTGTATCTATTTGTCCAAATTTATCAAACTCTATGCCTAAAATGAGCAACTTTAATTGTGTGGTATTTAGTCCAGAGGAAAGATTTTTAAAAACTATTTTATTTTATTAATTTTAATGAAAGTTTACAGAGACTTAGGGTTTCCATTCATTCATTGTTGCACTTTTCTCCCTGCCCCCCCGCCCCTCCCACTTCTCTCTTCTTTTTGAAAAGTAAAATTCTTTCGTTGTTATACAGTACCTCCCTCCAGAGGAAAGTTTTTTTTTAGTTCCAGGGACACACTTTTGTACTTTGCATGTGCATGATCAGACAGCATAAAGATGCATGCAGCTGGTGCTCAAGAAATGATTGCAGGGAGCAGCACCAGGGTTTTCTCAGCTGGTCCATCAACCCAGTTTCAAGTTTATCCTCGCCTGCCATCTGGTGGCCAGAGTAGGCAACACAGACTCTTCATCCTCCCGGTCTTTTAACACTTTGTGGCTGGGATTAGTGCTATGGATAGAAGAGGGACATCTCTTGTAGGAAAACTGGTTTCTAGAGAGGGCAGGTTAGTCAGGAAGAAGGGGGTGGGTGAGTGGGAGATGTCCTAGGATCTATGCGGCCATACATACAATCTTTCAACAACAGAGCAAAAAGAAATGTTTGGTAGAACAAAAGGCCAATTGAGCACAATTTGAACAAAATTGGGCACCTTTGAATGCCAAGATAAAACATGATTTTTTTTTTCAATTTTGGGAGTGAAATAAGAGGAAGGAACGTTTGAAGGCAGCATTGAAGTAAGTAAGAATTTTAGTCGTGCGGATGTCTACAGTGAGCAGGCGGCTGGGGTCTTGGTAAGGGGAATTCTGAAAGGCAAGGGGAGAACCCCAAGAGGACAGGCCAAGAGACAAGTCTAGACATACAGTGGCCTCTTTTCAAAGTGCTTGGGTTTTCTGATCCTTTAATCCCACTTCGAGGAAACTTTCCACAGATAAACAGTTTTTATCATCTGTGGGCCCCTTGGTAATCTGCAGAACCACAGAGAATAAAAGCAAATCTGAAGAGGCAGCAGCTGATGGCCTTGCCCGGTTCTCTAGGTCACATGTGGCCTACTCATGACAGAAGACACTTAGTCTAGGGTGGCAAGTGACAGTGGAGACAGTGACTTTGACATTCAGTAGTTGGTGACCTTGGAGTGCTCTAAGGAGCACTGGAATCTCATTTTCTACAGGCCACGTACAGATGTAAGAACATGCGGGATTGACTGGAAGCTTCTGACACCCTGGTATGAGCAACCTTTCTGGAAGCTTCCTTCCTGCAGAAAGGCTCAGAGAAGAGACAGATGGGGTGGGTGGAGGTGAGGAAGGGAGGATGTGGCCCAAGGCCTGACGGAGTCTGGGGGAGAGGATCCAGGGCAGGTTTGGTGGCTAACTGCATGCAGTGGTTTCTTGGAGAATGTTTGCTGGGTGGATGGCTGGAGTGAAGAGGACAGGAAGGCTGTGTGAACAAAGGAATAGATTCTGGACTTCTGGGGGGCATGTGTGAGGACCCGTCAGGCAGACTCCGGGCCCTCTCTCCAGCTGGGACGCACAGAGCTACAGCTCTGCATGTTTCGCCTTGGCCTCCGTTAGCTCCTGGATCTTCTGGGGCACCGTCTTCATCCAGAACTGGAGCCTGTGTGCCTTCAGGGCTCGGCCTGCCTCAGGCTGTAGGTTCAGCTGCATGTATTGATTCTCTTGGTCAAACGTGGGCCAGAAGGGCAAACCCTTGCCATTAGGGTTCCTGTAGACCAGCAGAAGAGTGCAAGGGTCATTGCGAGTCCTGCCTGGCTCAGCCCAGGCACTGATTGGGGTCAGCCAGCAAGACACCAACAAGCAGGCCCAGTGGGCATGAGGAGTGAGGGGGAAGGCTTTCAGATCTAGGAGAGGAACTACCTCCCAACTGTGTCAGCTCCGTGAGGGGCAGGACAGCCTGACTGGGGGTCCCCACTTTCACAGGGAGGCTCTGGCTGTAACATAGTACTGGCACCCAGCCTCCAGATCATCTCCCAGGGAAAGGGGACAAGTGTCCAGCGCCCCCTCTGTCCCTGTGGAAGGGCCCCATCAAGCAGTTAAGGACACGTGCATGCTAATGAGGGTCACCACAGACAAGGGAGATTGAGCGAGAGGTGCGTCTTCTCACCCATTTCGAGCAAAGTTAGCCCAGTACTTCATTATCTTCTTGCTCAGCAACTGCTCCTCCTCCGTGAATTCCACTGTAGAGAAGGTCAAGGACAAGCTCAGTCGAGCTGCCAGTTCTTATGTGTGTATCACTCCACCATCTCCCACCTCAGCTGTGGCTTCCTCCAGCTCCTGGGAGCTGTGTCTGGAATCCCTGCCCTCCCTAGATCTGCCTCTGTCCTGACTCCTCCCAGCTCTGGAGGCCCAGGCCTTCTAAACTCATCTCAGCTCTTAACAGGTGGGCCCAACATGGAGTTCATTCTTTTCCTTCTGACACTGGAAATTCATTGAAGACACCACTGTGGCATTTAAATTCACCCTGCTGTACCCCTTCAGAAATCTTAAAGTGGGCTGGGGTCAAGGGGGCAAAGCTCAGCCTTTCTAGCCGTAAGATCCTGAACAAGAGAACCTATTCTTTCACTAAGCCTCAGTTTCCTCATTTGTACAGTGGTGAGAACTGTTCTTGGCAGTCCAACTTGGGTCTCCTCCTACATCTTAGGGAATGTGGTGCCTTCAAGGAACCCCACCCAGCCGACTCACTGAAGTTGTTCCAGGAGAAGGCTCCGAAGACAAAGAAAATCTCATCACCATGGTCTGCCTTCACATGGGGCGGCTTGCTGTCCTTTAGGAAGTCTGGCCGATGCTGGTACTCATAGAAGTAGACTGGGGCATGGGATCCTGGAGGGGAGGTGGGCAGACAATGAATGGCTGACCCCCTCACCTGAAGCTTTCCTTGGCCCACTGTGGTGATGATATGCAAGTTCAGGGAGCTCTGGTGGCCTAGTGGCAAGAAGCTGCAGTGCAGTCCCAGAGGCTCATGGTTCAAATCCACCAGATGCTCTGCTGGAGAAGGAGGAGCAATCTCCTCCTGTACCAGTCAGATCTGATTTGATGGTACACACAAAATAGTAAAATAAATTTTTTTTTTAAAAAAAGACACCCGAGTTCAGGGCTGGCTAGAATCTCTACAATAGCTGGAGCAATGACAGTGGAAAGGGCCTAGTTTCAAATCCTACCCTTGGAATGTAGTAACTTATGCCTTGGGCAAGTTACTGAAATAAATGAGCTTCAGTTTCCTCATCTGTAAAACAGGGAGAATGAGTCTCTTAAATGAAGACCTTACCTGGCACTCACAGCTCTGGGCTGTCTGTCTTCTTCCCAACTTGGTCTTAGCTACTTACTCTGAAACTGTGCTACTTGGAGGGCAGGAATCACGAAGATGAAGTCCTCCATTATCTCTTGGAACTGGGCTCGGAGGAACTGGGGGTCCTCACTGTTCCCGATGTATTCTTCAATCAACAGGTCAATAAGTTCAGGATGGAGGAACTATCCCGGGTAGATCAGGAGGAATCATGTTAGGCTGGCTGTTGTTGGGGCAGGGAGGACACTGGCTAGAACACACAGGATCTGGGAGGGAGTAGGGGCAGTTTGGGGTGTGGGACCAGCTCTGGCGTAACTCTGTGAACATTTGCTTATAAGCGATGCAGCATGGGCAGGATATTTGTGGGTGCTGGGGAGGGGATTTTTCTTGCCCCGGGACAGGAGGGGAACAGCTCCTCCCCAACTCCACGAGCCTCACCATCATGCCTGACATTTGCTTCAGTGAATTCCGTACAGACTCTCTGTCCATTTCCATTTGCATTTCAGAAAAGTTCACAATCTAGGATGAGGGAGAATGTTGAGTTGGGGGCGAGACGAGCCTGGAGCTACTAAGCCCTAAGGCTCTCCCACCAGAAGGACTCCTCTGGCACCTGGAGGCTTGGAGCTGGGTCTTACCTTGGGGATGACCCAGCCATACTCATCATTGTTGACACCGATGATGCTGGGAACAGGTTGAAAGTGATCAAAGGCCAGTAACTCCAGGGGGTGCCTGGGCAGGAAGGCCCCATCCACTACTCCTGCGATGATCTTGAAGTGCTGAGGGGCATGCAAAGTCAGGGAGAAGGCCTGTGACATTTTCTGACTCCCCCATGTCCTAGGATGCCAAAACCCATCCTATGCCCAGTTCAGCTTGTCCTGGTCCGGAGTTCTCATCAACTGCTATGAGAAAAATCAGGACATGCAGCTGGACCTTGCCCAGAGTATGAAAGACTAGACCTGCTTTGTCACACCTTATTACCCTCCTTCCATCTCCTTCAGGGAGCTCTGGTGGCCTGGTGGCAAGAAGCTGCACCGCAAACCCGAAGGCACATAGTTCGAGACCACCAGCTGCTCTGTGGAGGAAGGATGGGTAATCTCTTTCTGTGTGATTAACCACCTCTGAAAACCTGCTATGGGTTGCTTTTGACTCTATAATACTCAATAATAACAACTACTACTCCCCACCTGTCCCATCCAGTCCCACCTCACTCATGGCCTGAATCTCCTCCTCACTCTTGCTCCTCAGACAGTTGACCAGGGTTTCTGAGTCCACCTGGCTACAGGCTGACAGGTTGGCCACCATCTGTAAAAGAACCACGCAGGGGCTGAGTTGTCCTTCTAGAAAGGGGAAGGCGGTTTGCTCAAGGTCCCTGTGGGAAGCAGGTACATTCCTAATATCCTAGGGTATTCTGTGCAGACCCCTGTGATTTTATCACAATTTAACTTCCCTGATGCTCAGAGGGTTCAGCCAGAGAGGTGATGCAACTGCCTGGGTGAATCTGTCCATAGAGGGACCTGCCAAGCTGGAGGCTCCATGGCCACACAACATAATCGCCTCTGCAATGGCAGAAGCTGGTGGATTCTCACCCTCAAGCCCCACAGCAAACCCTGGGTAGGTGATAAGGGAGTCATCATTATCCCCATTTAAGGCAGAATGTTGGGGACCCTGTGAGGTAACAAATGAGGCAGCAGGGCTGGGCTTTCCAAGCCTGGGACACTCACTGTGGAGATACTGTCAGACGAGTTGGCAATGAGGCCAGGGAGCAAGGCCACACCGCTCTCCATGATGGCACCATGGAAGAGTCCTTGGGACATGGGGGACATCACATGTGAGGACACGCTTGTGCCACCTGCAGACTCGCCAAAAATGGTGACTCGGCCAGGGTCGCCTCCAAAGTAGGCAATATTCTGCTGGACCCAGCGCAGCGCGGCCACCTGGTCCAGGTAGCCCCAGTTGCCAGGTGCATGCTTGTCTCCAGTGCTGAGAGGTGACAGAGAAAGGGATCACAGGATTATCCTAGTTCTGCCCGGCCACACTGCCCAGCCGTGCCCCGGTCTCACCTGAAGTAGCCCAGGATGCCCAGGCGATACTGGATAGTGACCACTATCACATCCTCAAAGGCCGCCAGGGCGGAGCCATCGTATATGGAGGCCATGCCTATCACGAGGCCACCACCATGGATCCACACCATCACCTGGAAACAACACATGGATCTCTATGGCTCCCAGCCAGCCCAAACTCTCCCAAGACTGTCTCCTAGTCTAACCGCTGCTTTGAGTGTGTCCACCCACCCACACTGACAGAACTCCAGCAGCAGGGAGGCCTTTTCATGGCCTGGACCAAGTGTGAGCTAAGTTCTCTCAAGAAAACCAAGCTGCCCACCCTTTGGGGCTTGCCCCTCCATCAAGGCCTGGTTCCATTCCTTCTAGAATCTTCTCTGAGGGGACATGAAAAGGGGCATCTCCCTGACTGTCTTACAGGCTCATTCACTAAGTGCGACCTTACCCCCAGCTCATGGCTCGGGCCTCTGGTGACCTCAAAACATGACTTTCAGGGGAGCTCTGGTGGCCTAGTGGTAAGGAGCTGCAACTACAATCCCAGAGGCGCACGGTTCGAATCCACCAGATGCTCTGCCGGGGAAGGAGGGACAATCTCCTCCTGTACCAGTCAGATCTGATTTGACGGCACACTCACACAAAAATAATAAAATAAAAATTAGAAAAAACCCCAAAAACAAAACAAAAACCACGACTTTCAGGAACCCGCTGGGTCTCCTGGGCACAGGCCGGTTGGGTCAGTCCTGAGTCCATCCTAGGGGCACAGCCCCTTCAGGAGCAAATGGGGCTCTGTGAGCCCATGGGTGGAAACATGATCCTGAACTTGATCACAGTGGTAGCTCCTTAGTGAAAGGCCTCTCAACAGTGTCTACAGTGAGGTAAGACCCAGTCTAATCTTATCCTTTCTAATCTTCTTGTAGAAGAAGTGTCCTCTCATCCCACCCCACCCCCAGTTAGCCACAATTGACACTCACAGGCAAGTTGCTACCCTCGTGGGCGTGGGCAGGTGTGTAGATATTGAGGTACAGGCAGTCTTCGGACATGGCTGTGATAGGTGTGCTTCTATTAAGCAAAGCCTTAAGCATAGATGTCATCCCATTGATGTCCTGCACACACCTGGTAGCCAGGACAGACAGACAGTGGGGAGCCTGTGCTGTGGGACTGGGCCACAATCAAACCCTAAGTCTAGATTTACTCCCACCTACTGTCAGTCCCTCTTGCCTCTCAGCTAGTCTGTTCACACATGGTCCTTCTCTGAAAGTCTTAACAAGAAGACCGGTTCTGCACAAGCTAGGATGAAGCCTAGCCTTCCAGGGAGATGCCAGTGTTGCTGAGGGGCTTGGACACCACTCCTCCCAAGACTCAAACCTGGAGGTCTCTGAAAGAACCATTAGTTTCATCATCTGGCATCCCCCCACCCTCTGCATCCTTCTACCTATGCGGGCTTGGAGAAAGGGCTAATCCACATGCATGTGCTGGGTGGATGAGGAGAGGTCAATGTCTCATGTGAAGGGCAATGGAACATCTCCCTTCCCAAGCCAAAAATGCCAGGGATCCTCCTCATTCCCACAGCTTCTGGTTGTAAGCACACACACCTCTTGGCCTTGGCCAAGAACCTAGCCTCGTGGCCAAGGGCGGGAGCACTGGTAGTGTAACTACATGTTGGGCTGCTAACTGAATGATTAGGGGTTTGAATCCACCAAGCAGTTTCCGTCTGTAGCAATTTATAGCCTTAGAAACCCAAGGAGGTTGGCCATGAGTCCGAGTCAACCCAACAGCTTGGGTTTGGTTTTCGTTTTGATGGCTAATGGGCTTCGGTCCTACTGGTTGGCACATGAGAGTGAGGGTCCCCATGGAGCTACCTCTGCTGTTCTCCTCAGGGATCTGCAGTATTTGCTACTAAAGTCAGGGGATCCTCCAAGGTTCACAGAGCTAGTCCAGGTGGCTCTGGGACACTCCTCAGTGGTGCGGGGGAGTATGTGGCATAACCAGAAGCATGAGAGATGCATGCATCTGCTCCTCCCTCCACTTCCTGGAGTTAGAACTTTCCAGATGACAAGCCTAGAGCCGGGAGCTTGGTTCAATGACTCCACCCCTTAGCAAACTTCTGGAGTGACGGGAGCACAGAGGGTATCCACCAAGCTGATTACAGGGATTTAGATGAGATGACAGCTACCTCCCACCCTACAGCCGGGAGGTTCCTGGGTCCCTAGGGGAGAACTTACGCAGCTGGGAAAGAAGTCCCATCCCTCACACCACTCCATGCTTCAGGAGGCTGTGGGGCTGTAAACCGCAGTGGCCCCAGGGGCGGCTTGGCGAAAGGAATTCCCAGGAAGGTGTAGACCCCCACTTCAGTGCCCTTTATTTGGACGAGGCTCCCCTTCACCTGTCCCATGCTTGTGGTCCGGATGGGGTGTGCAGAATCCTGGCCTGTGGGCAGAGGATGGTTAGACATCAGAGTGGGGTCTGCCCAGCGTGCTACCCTGAAAAACTGTTGAGACTGCTGGCTCCTTCCCACACACAGCTCAGCTCGAGGGATCGTGAGCTATAAAGACATGTTTTACACATTTCCATTTCCCCTGGGTGATCCTGTCCCTACTTCCCAGCCACCTGCTTTCACCGGGCCTGGTCCCTCGACTTTCCCTCCAGGCTCAGTGAGGCTCCTTCGGGTGTGGCACCACAGCTCAGCGCCGCCAGGAGCTTCAGACGGTCATATGTCCTGATGGAGTGAGTGTCCTTTCAGCTAATGGTGTGACACAGCTAGAGTTGTGAGACACTAGGGAGATCCCACAATCTCCCTTAGACAGATATGGCGCCTGTCCTCAGCAGTCTTATGATCAAAGTCATAGGAAATACCATCAGGAAGGTATCCTAAGGAAGCTCTCTGGTGGCCTAGAGGCAAGAAGCTGTGCTGCAATTCCCAAGGTGAGGGGTTCAAATCCCCCAGAGGAAGGAGGGGAAATCTCCTTTGCCAGTGAGATCTGATTCAATGGTACACAAGAAGAAGAAAAATTTAAAAATAAGGTATCCTACAAAAAAAATGGGATGATATTGGGAAGGCACACTACAAAAGAGAAGGGCAGGAAGTAAAACGAGTGTCAGCCTGCCCTGCTGCTCAGAGCAAACGGAGGAAGTGACTGAAAGTGACTGGCAGTCAAGAGGTAATAATATTCTTAATAAATAATTTCTGTAAATTAATAAGAAATATACAAGCCACCCAGTTGGGGAGATAAAGATGAACTAATCAGTTACATTAAGCATTACTAATACCTCACTCAAGTTGAGAGAAATCCAGGGTGAACTCTGAATGTGATATCAATGACTTACCTTGTCACAAGAAACAAGACAACCAGAACCAGCACCAGGTACAAAATAATCTTTTCCAAGTAAAATAAAACATAAAGTCTGATTATGCTCAAGTGTCTAGAATAGAAATATAGGTTTACAAAGAATGCAAGGAAATGGACTATTAAAGGCAGCTCTGGTCTAGTGGTTAAGAATTTACACTGCCAACCCAAAAGCCAGAGGTTCAAATCTATCACTTGCAATCTCCTACAATCTCCTCCCATGCAATTTATAGCCTCTGAAAACCCCCTGGAGGGTCAGCTATGAGTCAGTTTCAACTTGATGAGAAAAAGTTGTTTGTTAAGTTTGGACTAGAACAGAGGGATACAATCAACAAAAATGAAACTGTGAGAAACTTTACAGAAAAAAAAAAATAGAACAGAACAATGACACAGCCAAGGAAAATAAAAGTGGCACAGGAGAAATGAAGGCTTAAAAAAGACTCAAGAGATACATGCAAAAGGTAGTTAACACTTTTTGCCAGAGAACGCTGTGCTGCTGAGGAAGCATCACTAAAGCGATGTATTCCCACCTCCATCGTGTCTAAGACAATCTCAGAAAGAGGCCGAACAGCTGTGGAGACTATTCATCAGAGATTTGAGCTTTGAAATGAAAGATAAAAGTCTGAGGAGCCACTTGGAACAATGGAGTCCCCTCACAGACTGTGTGGAAATGAGAGATCTAAATGCCAAGCCCCCCCAGAGGCTTTGGGTCTGTAACATGCTCAACTGTGAGAGAGGCAGATGCAGCCGGAAACACAGGCCCCACAAGGTGATGGAAGAAGGGTTGTGCGACCTTCGAGGGCCTTCGCAAGAGAATGATCTCAGAGACCAGGTGCCCATTTAACTGTGAGGAAGATCTTTGTTGGTGGAGTTAAATACTGAAGAACACCAATGAGATGATTTTGAGCAGTGTGGGCAAACTGAAGTGCCTGGAATCATGACTGACCATGGCAATGGGAAGAAGAGGGGCTTTGCTTTGATAACTTTTTTTTCTTATTGTGTACCTTTGAATAGGATCCTACTCGCACAGGAGGAAAGTGCCCCTCTTTCTACAGTGGAGCATCTGGTGGATTTGAACTGCGTGCTGTCAGGATTGTGGTGCAGCTTCTTGCCACTAGGCCACCAGAGCTCCCTCTGCTTCTGTAACTATTGATGACCATGACTCCATAGATAAAACGGTCATTCAGAAATATCATACTGTGATGGTCACAATTGTAAAGCAAGGAAACCCCATCATACCTAGAGATGGTCAGCTCCTCTTCCAGCCAAACAAGTCAAAGTAGTTCTAGAAACTTGGGTGGGGGCTATGAGGGCGGGAATGACAACTTTGGTCGAGGAGGAAATGTCAGTGGATGAGGTGCCTTTAACGGCAGCCAGGGTGGTGGAGGATAGAAAAGCAGTGGGGATGGTTATAGTGGATTTGGTAACGATGGCAGCAACTTTGGAGGTGGTAGGAGTTAAGAATGATTTTAGCAATTACGACAATCAATCTTTAAATCTGGGAACCATGAAGGGAGGAAATTTGGGAGGCAGAAGTTCTGGCCCTTATGGTGGTGGGAGTCAATATTTTTCGAAACCATGAAACTAAGGTGTCTGTGGTGATTCAAGCAGCAGCAGGAGCTGTTAACTGTGGCAGGGAGGAGCACTGACTGCCCGGAAACAAAGCTTAGCAAGAGAGCAGAACCAGAGAAATGACAGAGAAGCTACAGTTAACAACAGATTTGCAAACTCAGCCAAGCACAGGGATGGCCAGGCCTAGCTACTACAAAGAGAAGATGTGTTTATACAATACTTATGTGTATGGGGTGGGGGTGGGGGAAACCTGGACTGTATTTATGACTAATTGCATAACAAGTTATTTTAGTTTCTGTTCTGTGGAACGTATAAAGCATATTAAATACAAAAGAGTTTTAATGTAGATTTTTTTTTTTGGCACCCTTTGTGTTGAATGCTAAATGTAATAGACTGATCCTGACGCTGAAAAAAAGGTCTTTTATTTATTGTATACACTGCTATCCCAGAGGTGCGTGGTTCAAATCCACCAGATGCTCTGCCAGAGAAGGAGCAACAATCTTGGCCTGTACCAGTCAGATCCAATTTGACGGCACGCGCGCACACACACAAATAAAATAAAATAGGTATTCTTATATAATGTTAGTCTCCTGTAGTTCACAGGTGTGACTCACAAGGCGAAGGCCAAGGGCATTATTAGGCAAAAGGTAAAATGGAGCTGTCCTGTCCTCTTTTATTACAAAAGCAGGAGTAGCATACTTAAAGAATCATGTACACTTTTCTCAGGGTGAAGAAAAGCAGGAAACATCCTATCAAATCAAATTATCCCTGATTAATTAAGGCTCTGTGTTCTCTTTATCTTATCTCAAGGCAAATGAGTATGTAAATCTGATTCCAGGGGAAGTGCTGAGGTTGTTTGCAACCCCCTGTATTCAAGGAGGTTTTGTTAGCAAGAACTCCTCTGGTGCACTTAACCCTTTAGCGGTCAGACACTCAGAAGACTGCTGACAAGGAATAGATCTTAGAACTGGATCTAAGTTGTTTTCAACCTGGACCCCCTGAAGGTCCCTCATTTTCAAGGGTCTCAGGTGTTCCTGGAAAATGTCCTAGTCTGGCAGACCTCTTATTGTCACTTAACCCTGCAGGGATGCTTCAGTCTCCTCTGAAGTCTTCTTGATAAATAACCTGACAGTGTTGAAGTTTAGAAATCCTTCACGGTGATTCCAGTATTATTAAAAATTTACATTAGGTGAGCTCTGGTGGCCTAGTGGCAAGAAGCTGCACTGCAATCCCAGAGGTGTGCGGTTCAAATCCACCAGATGCTCTGCTGAGGAGGGACAATCTCCTCCTGTACTAGTCAGATCCAATTTGACAGCATATACACACAAATAATAAAATAAAAAAAAATAAAAGAAAATAAAAATTAAAAAATTTACAACATTAGAAGCCTGCTTGGGGGACAGAGAAGCCATTGTCTATAGAAACTCTGGTGTAGTTAGACTGATCGTTAATGAGTTGTGACCTGGAGTTCACCATCTACATGGTCACCAAAGCAAAATTAAGAGCAACTGGTTATAAAAACAGGTCTTGACACATCTTATGCTATATATCTAAATTAAATAATGGTACCAGACAAAACTATAGATGGGATTGTTAAGTTAGCAGACTTAAGGAAGAAATCAGAGAGGATGAGAGAACGCTTAAAGCAGCTTTATTAAAGGGGAGGGGAAAGCTCCCACATGAGTTCCTTATTCTGGAGATACAGAATGGGAAGTAACATTGTGAACTTATTGGGGAGGGTTTTTATAACAGTCGTTAGGGAGGGACATTCCACTCTGATTTGTGAGCCTACTAGCTCACCCAGGCAGGCAAGGCTATTTTCTCTTCTTATCAGCAGTGGGCAAGGCTGTCTGCGTTTGGATTCTGAATGCTTCATTCTTCTCTTTGGCCTCCTTTGCCCAGACTTAACAGGGACTGAAATTTATGTTTAATCCAGTATCATGTGTAATCAACAAACAAGTTAATATGTTGGAGGAAAAAGACAGTTAATAGCAAATGCTGGTGAGGATAGGGAGAAATTGAAGCATCCATTCATTGCTAATGAAAATGTAAAAAGGTGTGAACACTTTGGAAAACAATCTACTTTTAAAAAGCACCTTGTAAATAACATTTTTTTAGGCATATAGGAAATAAGAATCCTTGAGCAGATATTTGATTATATTATTGTATCATTGTTGTTAAGCGCCCTCAAGTTGAGCATGACTCATAGTGACTCTATGACAAAAGACCTGAACTTTGTTCTATAACTATTGTCATTTCTCTAAATTCATAGAGTTTCAACAGGCATGTTGTTTAGGCAGTGGATGCCACTCTTAAATCCTAATCATTAGAGAAGCCATTTTGTATTTTAGAAATGTATGCCTTAATAATTTTGGCAATAATATGTGTTGCTAAGGTTTTTGTTTCCCAGTACATCTGACCCAACTTGGTTACTACTCCCTGACTACATCCTGTACTTGGCCTGGGGCCTGGACAC